TCATTCATTAACACTTATGTCATCCATGCTCTTTTATTTGCATGATATATATAAAGGGGAAAATCTTTACTCCTTTAAATGCTCGAGGTCGTGTATTTTTTCCAATCACGAAAAGTTTACAACTATGCATTCCTGCAGAGTTTGTGCATGCTAAAATTGTTAGTCTTGCTTAAAAATCTTTAACACCAGTTGGAGATTTTTCTGTAGAGTTTGCCGAGGTATTTTGCGGTACATATTTCCAGAAAAGACCAGTTTCATCAGCATTGTAAATGTGCAGAGATAACTTTTCACTATTATTGAGTTCAATAAATTCGTCTGCAAATAGTTCAACAGCTTCAATATCAGCTATCATGAGATTGACGATGAAAGACAAGTTGTTTGCTAAATTTTGTCTTGCTTTTATCGTGCACTGAGACAATTAAGCCTGAAATGTATTATTTTAGTTATTTATTACACTTACGTCTATTTCTTGCGTGTGCTTAAGGCTTATCTGAGTCCTGAATAAATAAATTCCCACATATACTTAAGGCTTATCGAGGGCCGGCGTCAGGTATCTTACTGCCTGATGCCGTCTCTGCATGTTCTAAATTCTGCTAAAAAGTGCTTCCCTAAGTATTAAATTTTTAAGGTCCCCAAATTTTCAGTTCTAGTGCTTTCCCTAAATTCTAAAAATTTTGTCATCCCTTAATTTTGTTGCTTGTGTTTCTCTAAATTCCCAAAATTTTGTCTTTCCTGAATCCTGCTGCCCATTTCGGCAATATGAGCTCTGGCGGTGGTTCTGGGTTTATGTGAATAACAAATTAGTCTTTCTTAATTTATTTAATTTAATTTTCTTAATTAATTTGATTTACGAGGACTCTTCACCAGATATGATGTTAAGGATTATGTTGGTGTCTTGACTAAAGATAAAATTACTCTGACATTCAACTCAACTGATCATAGAGATAGAGCACTAGCTGTGCTAATGAAAGATGAAGTGCAATTTAGCACTTTTCATCCAAAGAAGGAAACACTGCTTAAGGTGGTTATTCTGGGCCTGCCTGACGACTCGTCTGTGGAGGAGATCAAGGCTGAGCTGATCAAAGACGGATTTCCTGTGTTAAACGTGACGCAGTTTACTAGGAAAAGGGATGATAAAGCAGTTAAGCTGCCAGTTTTCTTTCCTTCGTCCTAGCTTTAAATGTAATCTTTAGGCCTTAAAGTATCATTAACAAAATCTATTTTTAGTGTATGGGAAGAAATTTTTGTTAAATTTTTCCTCGTCAACATTTTTTTGCACATTTAGCTTAAATCTGTGATCACCGCCAAGCATAATGTTAACAGAAACGTTTACCTTACTCTTTGTTATTCAATTACTAATATAAAAAAAAAATTGTTTAGGCCTCTTTGCTTGAGTGGTTACACAAGTTGTCACGTGTTGATAAACCTGTGATGATGAAAGCCAAATATAATAAATAATGATTTGCCAGGTTGGGGGCATCGGGGATATAAAATATTAGTTGGTGTAAAATCAGCGATGTTTATATATAGAATATTTCGGTTTGAGATGTATAACCAAGCAGATATGTAGTTACGGGGTCAAATTATTGAGCACACTTCTTATTTATCTTTAATAGCGTAGTATTTTAATTAGTGCCGAAGTGAAATTAAGAACCGGGACTCTCCAAATGTTTTATTATGGGGGGGGGACAATCAAATGCATATGCATAAAGCATACAAAATAGATAAATAAATAAATAAAAAATTAAAGTTGTTGCCGGCTTTGAGGTCCGGATATTGAATGTCCGGATCTTGGACTTTGAACTGTACTACTCCTTCTCATTAGCATTTAACGCGATTCTAAAAACACATTCTGGTAACGAATTTCTAAGCTGAAATTAGGAGAGAGAGGTAAGGAGCTTTAGCTTATGAATAACTGTTATAAACTTAGGATAAACCTTACAGGTTGAAAGTGTAGTTGTGGTTAATGCCAGTACAGCATCAGTCAATGTATTGCCATTGCCCATGGTGTAATTCTCTAGCTGGCAATTGTTTGAAAGTAACATACAAGAATCTCTAATAAGAGAGAAATCACTTTTATGGCATACACAGTACCAACCTCTTACTAAATTGGTTAATAAGATCAGCTGCTATTATTACGTTTATATTTCCAGGAACTGAAACAAATGCATGCTAATCAGTAAAAACTGCCATTTATTAAACTCATCTTCATTACTTATAAAACTCAGCTTGTCAAAAAACTAGTTTTTTCAGTGCCAGAATATTCTGGCAGTGCCTATCAAAATGCTTTGTAGATCATCCATTCAACTCATAGACCGACTATGGATTATTTATCCTTTAGATATGTAGTGCTTTAGTGAAACAGGTCTGGACAAAATTTCAACCAGTGTGAGGTTAGAGTAGATTGAAGGGTACCCCTTGTATTATCATGAAGTTGATGTTTTGTTTATGGTAACCTGAGTAGTTGAATGTTCCATAAATATACTTTTACCTAGAACTGGGTGAACTCCTTTGACTTTTTAAGTGAAAATATATTAATGTGTACATGGACAAAGGGATGTGTGCAATGCCAAGTTTGTGCAATTCTCTGATTTCTTTTAAGTGAAAATAGGTTGACGTGTACATGGATAAAGTCAAGGGAGTGCGCGATGCCTAGTTTGTGCAATTCTGTGACTTTTTTAAGTGAAAATAGGTCGATGTGTACATGGATACAGAGTTTGTGCAATTTCTTTGACTTGTTATTTTGTCTTTGTGTAGCAGCGATTTTTGGCAGCCAAAGTAAAAAGTCAAAGAATTGCACAAACTCTATATTCATGTACTGCCGAAAATTGCCAGTTTTCGCCAAGGGGTACCCGTAAGTACACTTCCCCCAGTCCCTGCCAGATAATGTTTGAAAAACTCTTAGTCTGGTTTGGAGCTGAGAGGGGTAGAATTTCTTCAGAAGCATTATAACTAAGTGAGCATTCTACTTGAATATTAGCTAATACAAGGTGAAAGAACAACTTCCGTACCTTGTCTTTTAAACTTTTTGCATTCAAAATATCTCTTTGGGATATATACATTAGGTGTCTTGGAGTTTTTAAAAAATTTCATGAAGTGCTTCATATGTTATGCCAGAATTTTCCAAAAAAACTAACTTCAGCATGTACTCTTTTAAGAAACAAAATTTAAAATGTATTCGTCATTTGTGTACTGAAAAGGAGAAAGTAAAATTATCAGAAATTAAGAAATATTGCTATTTTTACACAAAATTGTGTTTTGAGCTTTTTGCATAAACAATAAATAACCTGAAATTAAGGTTTTGAATATTTTTCATATCCTTAGGCCTCAAACTTTACATTAGGAACAATTGCATTTCAGTAATTATAAAAAATTGCCGAAAAGCAGCAAAATTTCATTCTTTTTCAAAACTTTGACTGCAATGTGTGAATGTAAAATATATTTTTATATAAAAACTGTATTTTTTATTTTGCATATCTAGACATAGGCAACTTTTCTGGGATATAGCGATCAAAAAGTAAAAAAAAAAAAAAATGGTTTTTCGTGCCACCCTACTTTAGCTTCTTTATGCCACAATGGAAAAAGGCAAGATACTTCAGGCCATACAAATTGTTTCTAACACCCGTGGCAGCTCATAACCTCCAAAATAAGTGAATATCACAATTACTTAGGTTTCATTGGAAATTTTTAGGTTTGGTCAGGTTTGACTGCAGAAAGATATTTTTGATTTCTACTTGTGTAGGAGAGAAATGTGCAGGTTTGATTGTGTTAATTCAAATTTGTTCACACATAAGAAAGCATATCTATAGAAAATGTTTTGAATGAATCAGTTATTAACTTGATTTATATGGTGAGCAGCCACTGCCTAACACTAATGATCACTGATGGGGGGGAAGTAAAAGCATATTTAAATATAATGATTTTAAAATTTAATGACAGCAACATAGAATTATTTTAAAATTGTATTTGACATTTTTATACATGAAATTTAATTATAAATTTATAATTACTAAGATACAAGAAATTACAAAACTAATGTTATATTTGGCCTTAAATATGAGAAACTAATACATAAGTGTCTGATTCGATTGAAGTGGTTGCAATTCTCAGGGAGTTTTCAAAGTGTTCATCCAATATTTATGTTCTAATTTTACTTTTAGTGTGTTTCATTCTTGAAAATAGTTGTTCACGAATGTACTTGCTGCCAAGTAATGATAACAAAACATGAATAATGCATGACTGTATAAGAAGGCATATTTATCTCTGGATAGGTGTGATTTATAGAAGTTCAACAAAGAAATATGATAAAAATTTTCCTTAAATTGAATGTCAGATTGCAACTCTCTTCATTCTATTTGAAAATGTGCTAGCAGCATATCTATATCAACTGCAGATAGAGTGACAAAAATACAAAAATTTTGGTTATTTTCCCCAAGTCTTCAAATCCAATTTCAGATTTGCGTATCAAATTCAAAAGTGAGGCTGCATATTCTTTCCCCATTTTTAGGATTCTGTATGCCCAACATGTTGAAATGTGAATAATTATTTGCATTTGTTTGAGCGTACTTTATTTCACCACTCAAAACGCATTTTATTTTGTTTCAACTTGAAAAAACTTCAGATATTTTGATGTTTTTTATTTTCTTTAAACTATGTTGAAGATGAAACTCTTAAAGGTTTTACTGGAAGTAACAGTGTATTGTGTTAATTGTAAATACCATTGGCAATAAAAAATGGATATTTAAGATTTATGCCCGAAGTGCACAATAGATTTGTGCATGGGTAAAGTTTGTACAAAAACAAAAGTATTAATTTCATGTAAACAAAAGTATTTTAGAAGTACAATTTAAATTATTTGTTTAAAAAAGCATTAATTTCATATAAACAGAAATGTTTCAACAGTTGTTTGTGATCAAGTAATATTTTATTTTAACTTTAGTGCTTAACAAAATTATCTGCCACTTTATTGTTTTAAATCTTTTAATTTTTTTAATTTATAGTTCTCTTTATGGATTTCTGAAATTAAATGTACCTGAAAATGCTAAGAAAAAAGCTCTTATATTGAAGGTAAGTTTTGTGTTTAGGTGCTATTTTAATCTTGCTTTTTAAATTAATTTTAAAATCAAAATGCATATGATGCAGTTTCAAAAGCATTCATAAAGTGCTTGTATGTTTTAATAAAGAATAATAAATTATTGTTTCATCCACTGTGTAAGAATGTGTTTATGTATGCTTTGCAGAAGTAATTTTAAATGTCAATACCTAAATTTGCTTTAAAAAAATATGAAACAGTTTCAGAGAAAGTTCAGGAACTTTTGTATCCTTATGATGTAATTTTTATCTTTTATATTTTTAAAGTCAATTTACGTTATATTATGAGCAGAATGATGGAGAATGCTGGCAGTCATATCTAGAATCTCAGAGAGGGATGGTGATGGATAAAAAACTATCAGAGTTTTCCTGAATTAGCGAAGCAGGTGAATCTGTCATTTATAATAAAAATGAGGTTTGTATCACAACTTAGCCATAGAATCTCTTCTCGGCTATTAACAGGTTTACGAGAAACAGTTTAAAAAGAAGTGTTTTGGTGGAAGAATTTGTTTAAACAAGTTTTGTAATTACTTTTTTGTAGGTTTTTTTTTTTTTTTTTTTTTTAACATTTCCCAAGGCATTCCTATTTACAAAATATCAATATATCTGTCACTGATTTTTTGTTTCTGAGCTTATTATACTATAGTCTGCATATGTAAACTCTGAGAATAAATGTAAATTCAATACAGTTTTCCGTCATTTTATGAAGCTAAAAGTATATACAGTACTAAGTCTGAAATCTGGACGTCTATTATCCGGAATGATCTAAAATCTGGACTTCAAAACCGCCAACAAAGTTTTTCTCATAGGTTTTAAGCATGCTCATTTGATTCCCCCCTCCACGCGTAATAAAATATCCGGGGAGTCCCGATTCTTAATTTCACTTCAACACTAAATAAAATACAGTCAAAAGTCGTTAATTCGGACACCCATAATCCGGACCTCAAAGCTACAAACTTTCTACGCATGCTTCGCGTTGACGCATGCTCATAGGCGTTTACGCATGCGCGTAAGACCTTTACGGCTGCGAATATGCGTGTGCGCATGCGCATAATACGTTTACGCATGCACGTTTAATGTATAACATATGGTATAAGCTAAGCTAAAATTATGTAATTCAGTTAATGTTGCAGATTGCGATGTTCCTTAATCTTCGAATTGGATCCGGCTTATTATTTTTTGCAGACTGTTAGAGCAATTTTATAAAAGTAAGCTTGATCTTTCGATTATGTCATATAGAATTTCCGATATATATTTACTAATATGTGAAGGATCTACAAAGCGAAAGTATGTTTCGAAGTCCATTAAACAGAAAGTGGAATTGCTGCAAAAAATGAATAAAGGCATATCCTTTGATTATCTAATCATTCCGAAATATGTTTATCAATTTCACGCTGCTCTGCGGGGGAAGGGAAACGACACGGCGCGCAATGAATTGGAAGTTGATCTGTCAGCACTATCCTTATCTTCAGGGCAGATGTTTTTATTTCATTTGGCTTATAACTCCTTACTAAATGTAGTATTTCATATCGATGTACTCCGTCTTTGATATGATTTAGATCTAGTTCCTCATCATTGTAATTTGCTTCCGATAGCGAAGAAAGTGACAGAGGTTCTTGAAAATGAAAAAATTTCGATTGATAAATTAGTCGGTAGACACAGCAATTATAGGACTTGAACAGCGGACCTTTGTAACTGAACAAGAAATTATGTCTGTTTATAGAATTGAAGAGAATGTATCATCACATAAAAAACGAAGCAACTTAAACAACTTACATTGAAAGAAATGTTTAATAAAGTAAACAAATAAATATTAAGCTTTTTTTTTTGTAAATTTTGATACCCTTTAGATCATAATTGTTCTTTATTTCATAAATTACGGTTTAATATTTTTAATTTTATAATTTCTGCATGCCATCTTACCAGATTTAAACTGATGATCTATAATCCGGAATCGCCGAAGTCCCGACGAGTCCAGATTAATGACTTTTGACTGTACCTTGTTATTGAAAAAACAATCATTTTAGCATAAATTTGTACCATCAGTAATTTGGCTCCGTTACTGCGTATGTGCTTGGCACACATCTCAAACTGAAAGATTCCACATAGGTATATCGTTGATCTGACGCCAACCTGGAGAATCATTATTTATTATACTTTCCTTTCATCATCACATGTTTATCAAAACATCACAACCTGAGTAATGATTCATGTAGCCTAAAACACTTTTTTATGTTAGTAATTGAATAATAAGGGAGTATGGCAAACTTTTATGTTGATGATGAGTGTTTTTATCGCTTGGCCGATGATTACAGATTTAAATTAAATGTACTAAAAAAATATTGACGAGGGAAAAATATATCAAAAATTTCTTTCCGTAATCTAAAAATAGATTTTGTTGATGATACTCTTAGACCCAAAGATTACATTTAGGGCTATTGGAATTAAGAATAACTGATCTGTTATTCACATAAACCCAGAACCAGTACCAGGGCTCGTATGGCCGCAATGAGTCTCAAAATTTAGGACCCACAAAGACGTTTGCTTCATTGGTCGGAGAATTTAGGACCCATATCTAGGCATCAGGCAGTAACATATCCGTGCCGGCTCTCAGTAAGGCTTAAGTATATGGTGGGAATTTATTTATTCAAGAACTCTGATAAGCCGTAAGCATGTGCAAGAAATAGACATAAGTATAATAAATAACTAAACTATTATGCAATTCAAGCTTAATTGTCTCAGTGTGCGATGGAAGCAAGATAAAATTTAATGGAACAATTTGTCATTAGTCGCCAAGCTCATGATACATAGCCAAACATGTATAGTGAACGATAGCTAAATTTGATGATGATAGCTGCTAATTTTAAAGGTTTTTGGTAATCGCAAAATAAAGGTGAAATTTTCCAATTAACAGGTTTTGTAAAGAAATGTGGAGAAGCGGTAATAAATTAAGATGATATAAAAGAAGTTTTTAACTGTGATGACAATGCTTCTCGATCATCAATCAATTAATGAATGGCAAAATGTTTAGTATGGTTCTAGATCCAGAAAATACTGCTGCCGATAGTGAAGAAAGTGACAGAGAAGTTACCCAAAACGAGAAAATGTCGATTGACAAGTTAGTCGGATTTCTCCAAACAGCTGTTACAAAACTTCTACAATGTAACTAAACAAGAGATTATGTCCATCTACAGAACTAAAGACTAAGTAGTAGCACAGAATACGAAGGAACTTAAAACAACTTACATTGAAAGAAATGTTTAATAAGGTAAACAAATAAATATTAAGCCTTTTTTTTTTGTAAATTTTGATACCCTTTAAATCATAAATACTTCATTATTTCATAAATCTTGATTTCATATTTTTAATTTTATAATTTCTACATGCAATCTTAATAGATTTAAATTGATGATCTAATATTCGGAAAAATCCCAATTCCGGAATCGCCAAAGTCCCGACGAGCCCGGATTTCAGATTTTGTATTGTATTTGAAATCTTTTGTATGTCAGAGTGTATAGTTATGATGTCATTACTATTAATTTATGTGAAAAAATTTTATAAATTCCCAGACCTTCACAAAAACCTATTTTACCATTTGAAGTAGCACCTAAAAACTAAGCATTAAATAAACGTAAATCAGAGCTAAATTAGGAGGGCCAGAGCTCTGTGAATTAGATCAGGGGTAGCAAAAAAGTAAATAAATAAATGAAAGTGATAACAGATAAAACATTATATAATGTGTAATAAGAATTAAATATAGGGTAACCAAATAAATAATAAATTTAAATGATGTGTTATAAGAATTAACCTCTTCGGCGTCCGTTACGTGTCTAGCACATTCAAGTGAAACTTCCGCAGGGCGGGTGTAACATGCCTCAAGCATTCTTCTACATTTTTTAAACGTTTAAAACGCTTTCTAAATGTTTACTTGTTTGAGATTTTATTTTTGTTTGTTACCTCCATAAGGGTAGCACTAATCAGGCATTCTGTTTCTAATTGAATTTGCCCTGGTGTTTTACGAATATTCGCACCATTTTACATAAGATACAAGACAGTGAGAGATGGCTTCAACGTTTACTGAGCAGAAAAAGAGAAAAAATGAGGTTGTGAATTGGAAAGACAAGAAGAATATATGTTTGATGATTACAGTCATAATAACTCGATGATTGATGTTGGAACACAGAAAAGAACTGTAAAAAACCAATAATTGTAAAAGATTACAACAACAAAATGGAAGGAGTGGACCGCCTGGATCAGATGTTATCAAATTATCTTGCTGTTAGAAATAAGCAGAGATATTATTATTTTTCCATTATGCTTTATTTCCTTATAATTTTACTTAATATTCATTGACATTCATCCACTACAAAAGTTATGTATGAAAAGCTATGATGTACGGAGAAAACAACATTGCACGCTACGAAAAACAGACTGCCGCTGGGGGGGGGGTAAATGAAAAAGGAGAGGACGGCGAAAGGGGTAAATGAAATAATGAAACAAATAATATACAAATGGTTTGAAAATAAAAGAAAGGTAATTACATATTTCAGGCAGGTAAAATTGCTTTTGCGTCTTAAAATAAAGATGACAAAGTAATATCCCTATGTCATTTGCATTTATTTAATCTCTACATCTAAAATTTGTAGTTTCTAATGCACTTATTGCATGGATGAGTACAGTTCATAAATATTTATCTTTCTAAAAGGATCACGTTTTGGCAAGTGGAACCATTTCTAAAGCTGTTCAGATTTTCTTATGTATTTGGCTGTTTTCAGATAAAGTGAAGTTTATGTTCAGTTGCAACTTTGGACATCAGTTTTACTAACTGGCTTCCCGTTCTCGACCCTCGCCCCCCAAAATTGGGTACTTTCTGATTATCTACACCCCGTATAAGAAATTTGTGAACATGTTGCCAACATAAAATTCCTTCCTTGGTCGGAATGTATCTGAAGAGACACTGTAAACCTGGAAATCCC